CATCCATCCATCCACCCCCCATCCATCCACACCCCATCCATCCAGTCCTCCATCCATCCACCCACCCACCAGCACTCGGCACCTGTTACTGTCGATTCCAAATTCAGTCTGGACCCCACAGTCCCCATTGGAAGAGAAGTCTCAGGTAAGTTGGGGAGCCATGACAGGTCTCACGGAACTCAGGAATAAAGCCACCGCCCGTGCCTTCCCTGTCCCCACCAGGTGTGTAATAGGCGCTGACTTTTCCCAGCCCCTCTCCTCCGCCTCCCGCACAGAGGGCGCCGCCGCTGGGCCGTCTCACCTGTCGGACGGTGCCACAGTGGCCGTAGGGGACGCTGAAGATGAGGAAGCGCCCCACGACCTGGGGGCGACACAGCTCGTCGTTCAGGCGGACGTCCCAGGAGGAGTAGCCCAGCGTCCGCAGGTAGCCGCGGTCCAGCGTGACCCGGAAGAGGTGAGGCAAGCAGGACAGCTGGGCTGCGGGGAGGGGGCGCAGGAGCTCACACGGGAGCCCCGTCCCCTGGGCGGGAGGCCAGGGCTGTGGGCAAAGTACCCACAGTGCCCTGCGCTGGCTCAGCTCTCATCACCCCCCACTTTTGACTTGACTTTCACGGACTTTATCTCCCCCTTTCCCAAAGTCACACCATGGGGAACCCAGCCCACAGCATGCGCCCCGCGGGGGAGTCAGGGCCTCGGTGAGGAGCTAAAGCTAAAGGACAGCTCGTTCCACGTGACACACGCGAGCCTGAGCATCTGTCGTCTGGAGAAAGAGCAGCAGCCGGGGGTGGGCAGGTGCCGAGGGGCTTCCTCCCCGCCTCCCAGGGAGTGGAGGGACACGCGAGGCCTCAGTGAGACCCGGAGGCTGGTCCCCCCCACCCCCCCGCAGCCTCGGACCCGGTTGGGCCGGGGAAGTTACCGTGGTCCGTGGGCGCAGCAGGGCGGGCTCCACCTGCGGAGGGAGAAGGAGGAGAGGCAGGTCAGGCGAGGCGGCGGCAGCAGGTGTGAGAGCCGGGAACGGGCTTGAGATGCGGGGAACGGGCGCTGGACTAGCCGCTAGGGCCGGGTCCAAGGGCATGAGAGCGCTTGGGGCGATGCCCAGGAGGGAAGCCGAGGGGAGGGTCCCGCTGCGTGGAGCGCTGTCGAGGGCACGGTGCCCTCGACATGAGGGTTTGCTGGAGCAAGAGAACAGCAAACGCGGGCTTTGCCGCTGAGAAACAGTCACATCCGAACACTGGGGTGTCCCTGCCAGGCCCGTGGCCCACGTGGACACTCAGGCGGGGGAGCAGGGAGGGCGGCCGG